CTGAACCCTGCTCAAAATAGGTGCAGACCCTGCAGCGTAAGATTTTTCACTTCATATACTTGTTTTCCAGCTCCTGCATTCATAGAATGGTTTAGGTTAGAAAGGACATTGAAGATCATCGAGTTCCAACCCTGCTGCCGTGGGGGTTGCCCAAGGCCACATCCAGCCTGGCCTTGAACACCTCCAGGGATGGGGCCTCAACAACCTCTCTGGGCAACCTGTTCCAGTGCCTCACCACCCTCACAGTGAAAAATTTCTTCCTAATGTTTAATCTAAATCTGCTCTCTTCCAGTTTATAGCCACTCCCCCTTGTCCTCTCACTACATGCCCTGTTCAGAGATTTGAGCGAAGTGAGTATCAATTTAAATGCACATTCCAATACAGGTCAAAACCCCAACATAATTCAATTTAATTAGACAGTGATGAAGTATGACCTCAGAACGCTACAGCAGAATTTCCCCTACTTCTTCCTGGCTAGGACAGAGAACAATAGCAGTTTTCACAGAACGTTTACACAGAATACAGTACTCTCCCATTCTGAAAGAAACCCCAACACAGCTCACCATTTCATGAATTTAATTTCAAACAGCTACAATGACTTTGATCCCACTCAACTGTTCATGTCTTAACTGTGTTTTATGTCTATTTTTAAATGCATCTCACTAGCATATTCATTGAATTCTAGCTGAGTCCTGAGAGGGGTGCAACTTCTTTAAGAAAGCAAGTAATTAAACACCTGAATAGAGAGGCCAAACCTTACCTTTAAAAAACATTTTTGCCCACAATGGAGTCATACAATTTTTTTCAGAATTACACTGTATCCCTGTATTCTAATATTCAGGAAGAGAGGCTAGTCTGTAGAAACTGAAGTACATACCTTTGGCCTGGTGTCCATGACATACATATAGCGATTTGAAGGATTTGCTTTACTGATGGCTTGCAACATGTGTTCATCTTCCAGGCACCTGGCACTGAAACCTGAGAGAGGTTGACTGCATCTGCAAATTGCAGCCTACCACAGAAACAAAGAACAAGTTAGCACCAGTTTAATACTTGTGGTTGAAGTGCTTTACATAATTCTAAAAAGGCACTGAAACAAATAGCTTAATTTGGCAAGTAAAAGTTTAGGTGTTCCAACTTTAAGCACATCACTTTTAGACCTTCAAACACAGCACCTTCAACTTAAATCTAAAGGTTTATCAAAACATTTTTTCCAGGCTCATCTACATGGGCAAGGTACCAGTTTACATAATGGATTTTCACCAAGTTTAAAAATTCCAAGAAAGAATAGGGTGGTAAAAATACACTGTAGGAAAGCAAGTTACTCTCTTGGTATGAAGTGAGTTATGCTTGGTTTTACATTAGACAATAACAAAGTATTTGCAATAGTAGTTTTCATCATGTAATTTTCAATGATGCCCCTGATACCTTCTGAAATACAATGTATCTTCCAAATAGTAGTTATCTTCAAATGCATCTAGTAGCTTAACACTCATCCTTCATAAATTCAACTCAGCAAGATGACAATCCTTCTCTCCCTTCAAAGATACTCCCTAGCCAAGACACACAGATGCTCCTTCACACCACTCTCTACTGAAGCCTGCAAAATCTTTCTCATCCTCTAGGTTTTTTTACCTTGCAAATACCTCCTTAAAGAACCAGTTCTCTTCTTTTGGTGTTTTGTTTTGGGTTTTTTTAACTCCCATTTTGACCTAACACATTTTATTCTTGATATATCAAGGAAGACAGATCACTTGACAAAAAAGCTGTCTTCAGTTATCTTGAGGTCAGTTTCTCTTTACCTAACCCAAACCACTGCCAAGTGTTAAAAAATAATTTTCAGCACATTTGCATTAAGAGAAGACACACTATACCTCTTTATTTTTATGATAATATGACAACACTGGGAATCTTCCTTTGCTTCTGAACTTGGAGCTACCAACGATTATGGGCTTGCTTGCAGTTCTGGGAACATAAAGTTCTCTAGGATAGGTTTCACAAATCTGAAAGACAGATACACAAAAAGAATTTTATGTACAAAGCAATAAGCCCATATTAGTTTTATTGCTTCCAATTTGAGTTACATGAAATAAGAGAAAGGATAAAGGCTAACATTTTTCTCTATATACACATAAATAGCTTAGAAGAGGAGACAAGCCATGGATAAAAAAGTAGAAATTGGTATCCAAATTATACAACCAAGCACTGCTATACTAGCATTCACCCCTCAAGAATATAACTCTACAGTAGAAATGCTAAGAGCGTGTTTCAAATAAAACAGTGAAATTATTTCCCTCATTTTTTGTACTTGCAGACTACAAAGTAAGATTAAATCTAATCTGGGAATCAGCTGCACCACCAAAGCCATTGTCTCCCACAGCCAACATCACAAATGCTAAAGTAGAATCCTTGTCAGTTAAGAGAGATAACAAAGCTGCAGAGTGCCAGAATTGCTGGGGCTGTGCTTCGAACAGGTAAGTATACTCTACAAACAATCCCAAAGAACACATGCATCCATGCATCTTTCAATGAGGCCTTGGAAAAAACTTCAATTCGAATTTTGTGATATTGCATACTGATTAAGGGGTTAACCCTCTCACCTGCAAGTTTTTGTTTATACTGCAAGCCAAGTGATTTCATAGTATTTGACTGTTTTCTATAGTATTAGAGTCAGGGGATATGGCACAAAGATGCAGAGCAAAACATGTTTCCATTACAACACTTGCCTTATAATCACGATTAGCATCAGACAACTGCCAGTTAGCATTTGGCACTCCCATTCTCTTATATTCTTCTGCTAGATCAATAAGCTGCCAACCTTTGACTTGCTCAGATTCATTTTGTTTTGGATTATAGGAGAAGGCATACAGTTCTTCATAATTTGCTAAAAGGTAAAGAATAACACTATGTAGTGAGTTGTCCCCAAGAATGTCTGAGTGGAGAAAGGTAGCACAGTTGACAAGTCTTGAAATTGCCCAAGTTCCAGAGAAAGCTTCAGGCTTCAAGATTCTCAGAAACAAGACTAAATAGATACTTGACACTCCTGAAATATTTATTCTGCAACTATCATACTGTTAACTGACATAATTACAGATATTTAGTTAAAGTTAGGTTATGAGAGCTTTCTCGAGTGCACTTAACCTATTTCAGCCAAGACATTTAGCCAGAAGGGCAAAGCAGAAGTCACAAAATGAAGACTGACAAAATTAAATAAGACAAAAAGCAGGATTATTAGAAGACTTCACAAGAGCTAGAGGAACAAAAAAAATTTTGGAGGTAAGAACAGAAATTTACATCTACTGACCTTTAAAAGCAATGTTTTAAAACTTTCTTTTAAGCAAAAAGGCTTTCAAAATATTTTATGGTTTTCTAATACACTATTCACATATCACAGATAACATTTTACATTGTATTAAACACAAAGCAGGAAATGCTGAAGACAATACTAGGTGACAGAGCTCCTGTAAAGCTGAATTGGGAGTGCTATTTTAGCATCAAAACTTCAGCTTCATTTTTGAAACTGCACTAAATCAGTAATAAGTTAGTATTTGCTTAGTAGCATTTTAGCTATGGAACACACCAATAAAGAAAGACTATATATATATTTATATTCACAATTTCAGGGATAACATTAGAAATGCAAAAGATGCAGAATGTGAGATTCCTGTTAGTAAACACCAGTGACCTACAAGAGCCAGACAATACACATTTGAATTTGTATGTAGATTAATACTTAATCATTAAAATCCTTTTACACAACAAATCCATTTAAAAGACTTCCACATAATGCAGATTTAAAAAAAAAAGGCAGGCAGATTTCCCCTCCTCTCTCTCCCCACCCCCCCTCCAACTTGCTATCCAGCCATATACTGCAAATTCTTTTTTATTATAAGTATTACCTGTTCTTGACAGCTGAAGCAGAGAGTTATAAATGTCATGACAATCTCTTTCTCTGGGAACAACAAAGTGAACTATCCTGAAGTTCTTGCACTGGATAACAAGAGGGCAGCCAGAAGTAGTCAAGGGAAGTTTTTCCACCGCAGCAATGTGGTGATGTAGTATCTGTGGCATACAAGAACTCACAGTGTAAGCACGCTGATGAAAAATAAGAACAGCATACTATTTACAAAAGCAGATATTAAGCAATGCTGAATATGGATTTAGACTAATTTTGTCATTCGTTCAGTTAGAAAAAGAAACAAATTTAGAAGAAGAAATCCAAGACTGGCATTTTGGTCAGGATACCACAATTTGTCAAAATGTAATTATTCTCTTCCCTCATATTGAGGTGTTACCTAATGTTTGTAAGGGGCAGTAAATACCCTTCTAAATGCAAAAGAAAATAAAAGAAAGTAAAACTCCACTGGGGCTGTTCAGTCCTCTTCTATAACTTTGCTGACACACTTACATCTAATTAGGCAGGGCCCAATTAGGCTATCTGCTTGCTTCTTCTTCCCCCCCCATATCTACAGAAATATACTTTAGAATTTTCAGGGAAATTAAAGCAAATCAGGGAAAGCAACTCAACATATAAAAGATACAGAAGTTGCTGATGATTTTAGAATTCCAGTATTCAAAATCTATAGAATGAACAGGGAATAACCTGTCTCCTGTATTACCTATTGCACTATGTAGACGTGAAAGCCTCTCAGCTAAATGCCTTTCAACCACTTTAACAGGTGACTGCCATAGTAATGGATACACAAAAGCCCTCCATAGATTCATCTGTGTGGCAGATCTACACAGAATTTAAGAAAATACATGGGAAAGTAACAGCTGTTCAACCATAGGAAGAAAGCCACAGATACTTTACCTCAAGTGAACAAGACGCTCTTGATAGCATTTCAATTACCTCACTAGCAATCATCTCTTAAATATTGATCAGAATTAGACAGGCACTTGAAAACTATGCTGCCAAATATGCATTTACAAAGAGACTATATCTTTGAGACATTATCATAATTATACTTGATACTTGCATTATCATCACAGAAATGCAATACTCTGATTATATCTTCAATTTCCCCAAAATGAAACCTTTTAACATAGTGCACAGGGAGAAGCAAGTAATGCTTCTGAATCACCAATAACCTATTTTGTATGAAAAGATAACAGTTTGGTTTGTACAAAATTATATATTGTACCCAAGAACAAAACCTTTTCTTTAAAGCACCATGAGGCATCTAGTCAGATAACCAGGATACAGGATTAAGGGTAACCCAGAAAAATACACCTGCAGGTAATAGACCTACAGAAAAAAAAAAATAATTAACCACATGCTGGGAAATGAGATTTCATCCTGGAAGATGACAGACTTAAGGCACTGAACTCAGTCAGGTAGCTGGGCTACAGCAGAAGCCAGAACTTGATGTTTGCATGTGTGCCACCAGGGCACTCAGTAGAAAAACTAACAGGAATTACTGTACTAGCCAACTTTGATATTGTACAACATTAGTAGTGGTTACCAAGAAGCTGCAGCCCCTTCTGAATTCTTTTATTCTGGAGGTGAACACTTGGGAAGAAACAGCTGCTTGCCACTCTAAAAAAGGGCATGGGATCTTCAAAATTTCACCAAAGCCTACATCTTTGGATTTTGTTGTCTCATTTAACCTAGGCAGGATCTAAATACAAGGTAAGTTAACACAGAAATTTTAAACCTGATGCTTAAACTACCTAGCAGTCTCCCACTCCTGCCTCTGAATTGCAGGGCAAGTCAGTTGTTTAAAGAAAGCCACCACACATTCACTCAGGAATACAAGTGAAGGCTAAAGAAGAAATTAGAGCAGCTTGAAGAGAAGTAAACATTATCAACACTACCTGATTTCAACTACAGCAGTGTAATGCAAGAGTACAATCTGCAAATCATTAATTGATTGTGATACCATGAACAGGGAGAGCATGGGGAACAACTTATACCTTTGATGAACATTTGAGAAAACAAATTCAACCTTTGATCAGGAAGGACAAATGCATCTTGGAGAGCATATGCTTTGGAGCCGCAAGCATTCATTATCCTTACCCATGTCTCTCTCTGGCTTGAATCTATGAATAACAGATGAGTTGCTGTAAGGTATAGAGTTCCCGTCAGTGACTTATTGCTCGTGCTGAACCTATCTAGTAATTTCACTTGCTCTACCTGTAAGAAAAGAGGGGAGGGGGAGCAAAACTTAATTTTTGCTTTTTGCAAACAGCAAAAAACTTTGCAAAAGCTCTGTTAGTTTGTGCAACAATTTTGCAAATGGTAGGCAGCATAACACAGCACACACAAGGCTATTCAGGCCAAACTATTAAGAACACAATAGTGGTCACATAAGCTTTGAGAAGACTGACTAGTTAAGATATCCTGTTTCAATATAAGAGTGCACAATGAAGGTACAATGTTAGGCTCGTCAGAATACTTATTCCATACACATAACTACTATGGTTATTTACTAGTAAAAGAGGCCAGGGTACCAAGTTGTTGGTTGGGCTTTTTTCAATATTAAGAATTATTAATTACTAAGCTTTCAGACTGCTTCCCCAAAGTAGAGCAAACACACACTAACAGTTTCCTGTTACCAAGATGCCAGCACTGAATTAACAGCTGATCTCAGCAACATGCTTCGTTGGCTGTCTGCAGATTCAGAGCCGTAAAGATTATGGCCTCCTCACTTCAGTTTTACTTATCTACTCTCTTCTATATCATCCCTACTCTAAAAATACTAGATCATCATAATCCTGCATCATAGTCAAAATAAATTCTAATTAAATGCAAGCATTATACTAATAGTTATAACAATATCCTAGAAATTCAAGCACTGTGCTGGCATTTGAAGCAGATATTTCAAGCTTGAGCCTTGCAAGGGCAAACTTCTCCTCCTCGTATTCCATCAACATTGTTATCTAATTCCCACAGAAAACATTTCAAAAGAAAGTGATTTCTAGATAGCCTGCATTTTATCTGCTGCTCATAACTACACGGGCTCTACCGTTTGCTTTATTTGAAGCAAACATTACATGACTCTGTGTGCAACAACAGGAAAGGAGTGTGGCAAACGGCTTATCTCCATGCATTCCTCTATTTCTTGGCAGCACTCTCTCATTAATGCCAAGTTAAAGCTGCTATGCTTAAGGCTTGCTGCTACTGCCATTAAATGCGCAGCAGAACTCCAAAAACTTCCACATCAGCAAGACCAGCACCTAGATAAGGTGACTAGGAGAACTCACATCTACTGTGCTGATGTTGAGCCGCTTTGAATTCCTATGTACAAGCTTAGTTATCTACTAAAAGCGCATATAGAACACTGGAAAAAAAAAAAGTCTTTTCAATTCAGGTATTTCTTATAATCTAGCAAGGCCTAATTTTGGTTTTGAAAATTAGAAAAGCAACTTAATGCATACAAAACAGAAAGTAGGAAATACAGATATCATAGTAGCACTGGCTTTTAGTAGATATTCTAGATTTCAGTTTAGAAAGCCAGAAAATTGGAAGCTACATGCACCAGTATCTCAAAAACACATTATTGCTGTAACCAGCAAGGTATCAGTGCTCAGATACAGAGTAGCATAAATCAATATAGCACAGCCAAAACACAGAATTGATTTTGGGCAGTTCTGCAGCAGTAACTGCTCAGGTACCTGCCACTGCACCTCCCCAGCAAACTGAGGAGTGCACAGAAACTGCTCCAGCTTTGCTCCAGTAACACAACCCACAAAATCCTGGCATGTGAAGTTCCATTCTCCTCCATGCAAGAAGGCAGCTATTCTCAAAGCTGTATTTCTATGTTAGATGACGACAGGCATTAGTGCTCCAGCTTCCTCTTACATAGGTAAGGTCTTCAAGAACTCTGAAAGCTAAGTTCTAGATACACTTTTCTTAAAGATAACTGAAATACAATTTAGATTCAGCCTCCATAATGACATGTTCATTTAAACTTGACCCAAGCCAGCTTTAATGGGGACTCAGCTAGATAGACTTTTTTTTTTTGCTTTTTAACTGTAAAGTTTGACAAATCCTTAGTTACGGAAAAACAAGTCAGTTAAGTTTTGAAGAGAACAGGTTCACAAGATTGAAGAGAGAGAGACTGAAGACTGTTAATGAGGTTTAGCACATCCGTAAACAGAGATCATTTAAGTAGTCAGAAGTGATATTCTGACAGTAAGTAACACTAACAAATTACTGAGTTTTTAAACCAGTAAGAATTTGAACATCTACCTCAATAATATAGAGTATTTACAGTGAAAGAGTCACCATACAGTTTATTGGGATTAGGAGTTACAGATTAAAGGCAAGAAAACGCACAGAGAAGCGTTTCGATATAGGAGACAAGTTGGAACAGAAAGGAAGGCTGAAACTATACTTCTTAAGTCTTGCATTAAAAAAGCTGAAGAATTAAATTAGAACAATTAAACCAAGACAAAAACAAATTACAGTATATCATTCCAAGATTCTTTTATCACAGCTTTGTATGACCTTCACTGAAATTATTTGTCTCATAAGCTTAGGATGCTAACTAAAACTTTCCATCTCCAGAAGAAAACCCATCAGTATTTTCACTAAAACAGATTTGACTTCAAATATACAAACACACTTAGCTGAAGAAATCCTAGTCTTTTCTACTATGTTTTGCTTTAAAATATTTTTAAGGACACTTTAGTTCTAAAGCTTCATTGCAAAAATCACAATATCCTTATTTGCAATTTCCCCACCACTGATGACATACTGTGAACTGGTTTTATCATTTGTTGCTACTTAAGTATGTGTTCTCAAACAGAAGTGATTTTTAAGTCGACCTCACTTCTTTATTAAACATAAATCTGTTGGACAGTTTAATTTCACAAAAAGCTAAACTTTATTTCCAGTACCCATGCTGACAATTCTAAGAATTTTAACTTCACCATTTTCAGCAAACTGAAGTTTGAGGACTAATAAAACCTACTTTATCACCTTGCCCTAGGGATGATAGCTTCCCTGCACAGCAGTTAATTTGTGCAAGACTGCACTGTTATTTGAAGCTTATTTTTACTATTACTTTAATAAAACAAATTGAAAGAGAACTGTGAAGCGCTGTCAGATTATAAAAAGTAGAAATGTCTCAGAACAATTAGAATGAGATCCAACTTGAACCTACACGTGCACTGAACTTCTAAGGCCCACAGTGCAGGCTGTACTTTAGTTTTCTTGCTTCCTATAAATGTAATACTCATAATAATAAACATATAGTATATATGCATTTTAATCCACCTGGATATTCAATAAACCAATAGATTACAAAAAAGCTATGCAACTATCACAACTATAACCAAACCCTGATGCTATTTCTAGCCATGAAATTGATAATTTTTGGTATGAATTATAAAGCAATTGCTTCAAGTAGTTAAGTCTTACAAGATGTGTTCAGAGCTTGTTTCTCTCTTCAGTTATATTACTACATTAAGTATTTTTTTCCCCAGAAGAGGCCCAAAAACATTCAGAAATAGAGTCACTTGTAAATGAAAAGACGACAGTGACCTGTAGCCTTTCTAGTCATAATTTCAGGTTTGAAACAGCTACTGAGACCACTAAGAGACTTTTGTTTAGTCTATTTTTTATTTTGAAATTAGCTATTGACTGTAACAATACAATATTAAGTTCCCAAACAAGGAGTTTCAGGTTTATAAGTAAATAGGTTGACAAGGAAACCTTATCTCCAATCTGCCAGTTTGGTGCAAGATTGTTTCATCCAGTACAACTGAAGTATCACTAACAGTAGCTTCATCAGAGACCATCCTCCTGTTTCATGTATACACATACAAGTACATATAAAAAATAAAACTAGCTATACACATTTTCAATAAAATTTATATAAGCTATTATACACAAAAATTAAAAACCTGATCCTTTGTATAACTATTGGTTATAAATCTACTATTTGGAACTGAAATACAACCAGTCCTTTTCTCCACACATCTATAAGTCTAATTTAAGCTCAGACTGCCAGATTTAGTAACCCTGGCAGCTTCCAGGACCCAATAGCGAGGGACAGTCCTTTCAGCAGCCCTTGCAGCCAGGGCTGAGAAGCAAGAAAAGAAAAATACTGTCAGAAAATTGATCCTATAAAGGCTCTACTTAAAAAATAATTAAAAAAAAAAAAAAAAAACAAAAACCCAGAAAACAAAAAAACCCAAACACATAAGAATTTCTGGGGTGTGGACGAACATAGATCACATCTGCTTTGTCAGGCAGTATCAAGCTCTAGTAAATGTTGAGTTACTGACACAAAACAGAGTACCTCCATGCAGAGGCGTGGTATAAGAGAGGGGTAGTGACTGACTCTTAACCTCGTGGTTTAAGAATCACATCTGCAGTAAGAGTTCTTGATAATGCAAACACTTGAAACTTGGTTTTGTACTGGGTTAATATCCTCACCAAAAGAAATATGGGAAGGATCTCTTGTACTTGGAAATACTGCTGATGTCAAATGGATTGGTGGGAAGGGGGGGAAAACTCAAAGTTGTAAGCTAGAAAAAAAAAAATCCTGTCTGCTTTTTGTTCCAGATTTAAATGCTCTATTTTGAGTTGTATTGTGTGATGGTTCCAATTGAGGTAGAGTTTATTGTACCATGAGTGCATCATTTATTTATATCTCTGGACCTGTTGGAGTGGGTCCAGAGGTAGGCCACGAAGATGATCAGAGGGCTGGAGCACCTCTTCTATGAGGAGAGGCTGAGAGTTGGGGCTGTTCAGCCTGGAGAAGACCGGGCCACCGCTGTGTCCCCGGGATTCTCTGAGAGGAGAAGGGGTCGCAGTGCTGGGAGCTGCTGAGCTCAGTGCTGGCCGTGAAACCTGGCCTGGCAGCCAGCCCTGAGGTGAAGGTGGCCCAGGGCCCCGCAGTGGGCCGGCAGTAGGTGTGTGGCAACCAAGAGCCATTCCCTGGTTACCAAAGCCTCTGTTCATGGCACAGAGAGTTTCAGTCTTCTAGTCTCACGAATGGGGAAATTCCTGGAAGATGGTCCTTTTTCTTGTGGTGTCACAGAGGGGTTGAGGTGGGAAGGGACCTTGGGGGGTGTCTGGAGCAGGGATGCCTAGAGCGGGTTGCCCAGGACCATGTTTTTAGTCTGGAGAAAAGAAGACTGAGGGGGGATCTTATCAATGCTTATAAATACTTAAAGGGAGGGTGCCAGGGGGATGGGAACAGTCTTTTTTCAGTGGTGCCCAGTGATAGGACAAGAGGTAACAGGCACAAACTTGAATATAGGAAGTTCCATCTTAACATGAGAAGGAACTTCTTTACTTTGAGGGTGGCAGAGCACTGGCACAGGCTGCCCAGAGAGGTCGTGGAGTTTCTCCCTCTGGAGACATTCAAAATCTGCCTGGACACTGTCCTGTGCACCCTGCTGTAGGTGACCCTGCTCTGGCAAGGGGGTTGGACTGGATGATCTCCAGAGGTCCCTTCCAACCCTGACCATTCGGTGATCCTGTGATTCTGTGAACTTCATGAGGTTCCTGTCAGCACATTTCTCCAGCCTGTCAGGGTCCCTCTGGATGGTAGCGTGAGCCTCTGGTGGATCAGCCACTCCTCCCAGTTTGGTGTCATCAGCAAACATGCTGAGGGTACACACTGCCCCATCATCCAGGTCACTAATGAAGATGTTAAACAGGACTGGACCCATTTTGACCCCTGGGTCACTACTGGCCTCCAACTAGACTTTGTGCCAATGATCACCTCCCTGTGGGACCAGCCGTTCAGACAGCTCTCAATCCA